GGGAGAGGGAGGCCCAGAGACTCGGTGCCTCCTGCTCGCTGGATCACCGCTCTCTGGACCTCTCACTACCTGGGCCTCCGCTCACTGGAGCTCCCCATCACTGGGCACCCCACTCGCTGAGCCTCCCACATGCTGGGCACCACGAGTGGATGCCCAGCCTTGAGAAGGAGGCTGTGAGCACAGAGCCCTCCCGAGACACAGCCAAGCCTCTCCTCCCTTGGGCAGCATCCAGAAGACCCTTCCCCTACGTCGAAGCAACCCTGAGAGCTTGAATCACCCACACAATGTGACTCTTGACTCCTATGATGATCTCTCAGCTTCCTAAACATCTTCCGTTCTTCTCTGCCTCAAGATGGGTAAGCAATCTTACACCCATTTAACAGAGGAGGCACCAAACTCCACAACTTACCCAAAATCACACCGCTTCCCGCTGGTGCCCATGCCATTTGCAGGATGCCCCTATCCAAGGCAAGAAGCAACACCAATATTAAGAGATTTGTACTTTATGTTCATCTCTGATGTAGCCTTTCTCACTTAAACACCACAGTTTGACCTGCTCACAAAATGCAGACAAATCAGTCCCCAGGAGCTGCAGGATGAACATATCTCATCTCCCAGGGGGTCTGCAGTGCAACGAAGGATTAATTAGACGAGGAAACTCAAGGTACTATGGCTGCAATGCTACAGGCAGGGCCACACCAGGGAAACACCATGACCACCACGATACTCCAGCTTCCCAACTTAAGCACAGCAACAGTGGTCACACACTGGGGGAGCGCCGATCTCCTGTCCCTGCAGGACATCACCACGAGGACAAAACAAATTCAGCGCAATCCCTCCGCTGAATTCAATGACTCCCGTGGGCAACACAGACCCGCACTGTCATGAAGGAGCCTGCGAGGGCTGGGCTTGCTGCTGCCGGTGGGAGCGGTGCCCCTCGCCACCCCGACCCACAGTGCTGGCACAGGCAGCCGAGGCCACAGAGGTGTCTGCAACCACCCCAATCACCCGCCAGCCCTAAACAGGACGTTTTTGTTTTAAGCATCTTGCACTGCTCCGAACTAGCTCCACCAGCCTCCGTAATTCAAGGTGCAACCTCTCAAAGAGTCCTCTCCTTGCTTTGCTGCTCGACTTGCCTCCTGGGTGCTTGGGGACGGGCTGCGTGACGTAAATCAACCTGCTTGAGGCTGAATTTTTCTGGGGCCGGGGGGGATTTGGCACCTGTAAAGCGCCGGGGCAAGATGAGTCCCAGAAATACCATGAAACCAGCCCAGCAGGCTGTGCTGAGGAGGGAGGGATGCTCGTCAGCCACGTACACTCTGCCCCACGGATAAAGGATACAAATCTAATCCTTCACACCTCTGAGGCAGCAAGAAGAGCCTGGCAGCACCTCCCAAAGACCTGCTGCGTGCCTGGGCTTTGACATCTTCTTCCAAAGGGTTTTTTCAGCTCAGCCAGCTGTTTGCAAGCAAATCTCACAGCAGAAAGCAAAGCCCCGTCTAGCAGAGCAACGGGTGCCTCGACCATGGCAGTCAGCGCATCCACCAGCCCAGACAGGGACAGGGATGCGTCCCCAGCTGCGCCTTCGCAGAAACCCATCCATCCATCACCACGCAGCAACAGGACAGGAGAGAAGGAACAAGTCAGACAGCAACCGCTGGCGTCGAGTCAAGCAGCGCCCAAGCCGAGCTGCGCCGGCAGCACAAGGCTCCCGCAGCATCAATCAACGAGGCACAACACAAACTCCCTCCTGGGAACATGGTGCTTCACACCGGGATTCTTCACACATGAGTCTTCGGAAAAGGGAATAGCCTTAAATCATCGGACACGCCGCGGGGGGGGGGGGGGGGGGCAGAAACAGTGACACCCGTGGGGAAAACATCTGCAAGGGGAGGACAGCAGCAATTGTAAGGAGTAATGGCTTCCTCCCCCTAAGCAGTGTTAGCAACGCTGGCCCAGCTGAGAACGGGCCATTCCATTGCAACACCTTGAATTTGAGGTTTAGAATTTTGGACCAGATGTGCCTTACTGCAGTCGATGAGGCAGGTGGGAGAAATTAAGGGCACGTTACGCTTGCTTGCTAAAAAGCACCAGTTAGAGGTGCTTTATCTTTGCAAGGTCTAAGTCACAGCTCCGACTCCCCATTTATCTTCAGCCCTGTGGAGGGGAGCGGGCTCGGGGGAGCTCGGGAGCAGGTTGTGTTTGCAGGCTCAAGCACATGAGAGCACCCCGATTTCTCTAGCCCTTCTGCAGGATGGAGCAACCCCCTTCGGACAGCCCTGCCGAGGGCAGGGGAAAGGCTCAAAGGCCGTTTGACGGGGGGGGAAATCACAGCCGGGGGGAACGGCAGCGTTCGGTTTAAATAACAGCAAGCTGCGCTGGGCCCCGCTCCCCGA